TTATGTGAAAGAATGAACGCTGATAGGGACTTCTCTCGCTTCACTCTTTTACATAATAAGATACAACCGTATGCTATATGGAAACTTGCTTTACGCTTTCCACAATACAGTCCATGTTTTAAGAAAATTGTTAAACTTTGTGTTGAAATGCGCGATAATGAAAATATATATTTGTGTCATTACTGTGGATCTATGTACAAAGATACTATTATGCATAGTGTACTCGAATGCTCACACACAGAGCTATTACGTGACCAGCTCTGGTGTGTACTCAGTACTGTAAAAGATATAGATTTTGTGTTTAATCTTAATGTAATGTCTAATTACCATCTACTTCATGTTCTTCTTGGTGGTATTTTCAATTATGACTTATCTCCATATGAACTGGAGGACTTTAGAATAAAATCCATTGTTATTATTACTAAAATTCTTCAATACAGTGGCATTATGTAATTTATCCTTAGATATTTGAATGTTGTATACTGAGTAATATGATCACTAATTTACTTGTGTGTACCTCACGCTTCAGCAAGATGAATACATGAAATACATATATTTTTGTATTCATATTAGTAGGCAAGCATTTCCTACGTCTTTCCTGTTGATTAGTGCAACTTACTACCATTCATAATATTGTTTGTATTGTATGAATTAATCTTGTGAGATGTATTACTACAACTGAAATCATTGTATGGTTGCGCTGTTTCTTCAAGTTAATTATTATATTGTATGTTGTGTATTTCACACCACTGTATGACTATGTTGTATGACTTCGTGCAACGGGTTCTACTCAATGTATGATTGTATTGTAAGACTTATGTAACAGTAATACTGTCTATAATAATGCTGTATAATTTATAGTGTGATGCTTGTAATACTGTTTATTACAATGTTGTATGATTGCTTAGTACGAGAAGTGGATTACTGTCTATACTATTATATGATAATGTAGTCTGAGGAGTGTAAATATGTCTATTATATCAATGTGTGATGTAATATATGATTAGTGTTATACTGTCTATCATCATAATTATCACCGTATAATGACTGTAATAGTACCTATTATATCATTGTGTTGTGTTTATAGTACTTTATGGTATGATGCGTGTACTATTATTATTCTCTTATGTGTGTGTCTGTCCATGTGCATGTGTGAGTCACTATGTCAGGGTGTGACCATGATTGTGAATGCATTTTCTTCTCTTTTCAATAGTGTTTTGTTCGTTATTTCTGTAACTCTTCGTTTTTGGAGGAAATAAAGGAAATAATAATTGTCATCTGGTCAGTCTTATTTTATGATGTCTATAGGTCTTTATCTAAATTCTTAAAATTCGATTAGATTCTATATTCTTTTGCCTATACGTTGATCT